ATCCCAGTGGAAGCCACTATCTTTTTTTCTGAACCAGCAAAGGCCTCTAAACTTGTCCCCTCCCTTTCACCTCCTCATAGTTTATTCACTCAGTAGTTAGGGTGGTCCTTTAAAGCTGAAATTGCATCATCATATTATTGTTCTCCTCAAAATTTTCCAACAATTTCCTAGTGTATTTAGAATGGCTGATAAGGCTCTCTGTACCCTGGCTCTTGACCACACCTCATTTCCTATGATCTTCCCATCTTGACTCACCTGTCCCAATCACACTGGTTTCTGTACTTTCCTAGAAATGCCAAGCGCTCTCTCTCCCTGGGATCTTTGTTCTCTCTGCCTAGAAAATTGCTTGCCTGCTTACTCCTGTACTCACCCCGTCATTTTATTCAGAATTCTGAGGACTCCTTTGGGCATGGCACTGAAATAGCTCTCTTTGTCTCTCTTCCCTGCATTAGCTGAGGCCATGTTGTGTCTTGATGCATTTCTCTGTCTGCCTCTGTAGAAGATAACCTTTCCAAGGTCAATGTCTTGCTCACTACTATGTGTTTCTATTGTCTGAAATTTCGTGTGGCACATAGTTAGAGCTCAATAATTACTTATTGAAAGAAAGGACAAATGAACACATGGTTAAGTGATTCACTTATTTTTTGGACAGGCCTGTTTCTTTTTCTAGGGAGTCCTGACTTTTACATTCTTCCTGCCTTCAGTCTGTCATACATATACTTATGTTAACAACAATGTCCTTGTATGAATTGTTTTCCCTGTGTATTCAATATTTGAGTTATCAGCATTCCCCTTTTCAGAGGTTTGGGGTTCCAGAGTGCCAGAGTGGCTGTACACTCTCTCACTATAGTGGGGGCACTTGAGTTCTTTTCAGTGACTGGATGATGGCAAGTTTATCTAAGATTCAGAATCAACAGCGAGACATGTGGGGAATTTGTTTGCAGGGCCTTGAAATGGCATTAAAAAAAAAGTTTGCTATAATTTTTAGTGGGAATTTCAACTTTTGTATTTATAGATCCTTTTATTTGGATTATATTTTATTTCTCTCATTAACTTGTAATTATTTCTTGAATGTACTAAAATCTGACCCAGTGTCACCACAGTGCTCTAATTATAAAATGCTTGACTATAAAATATTCTCAAATTGCTTTTGTGTTTTCAATGCAAAATGTCATTGGTTAGTTTTTACCAACAGAGGATTTATTGTGCGTGTTTTTTTTTTTTGGTTTTGTTTTGATTTTTGTTTTGCTTAAGTCTAGAAAACACTTTCTCAGACCCAGACTAACATTTGATTGTCCTCATAGTGACAAGGCTGATAGCTGAATTTGCTTCCTGTATCCTCTGATCAGCTTTCATTGGTTTGCCATTCACTATTTTAATCTGCCAGACTGTCATTTCATTAAGAGGATGTGCTTTAGAATCAGACAAATCTGACTTTGTGTCCTGCTCTTCCACTTACTTAATTATGTGATCTTAGAAGAATTACTAAACTTTTATGCTGATTCACCCATTTCTAAAAGGGGGAAATAATAAAAAGGGGGAAATAATATTTTCCTGATAGGGTTGTTAGGAGGATTAAATGAAGTAATGCACCTAAATTTGTTAGTGACTGATCTGCCACACAGTGAGCAGGCAGACATTACTGGTTGTTAACTTGGGGGATATGTTCTGATACCTTAGTAGCCCAAATAAGTTAATGCCTTATCCATCCTGTTCAGCTGAGCCCTTTGACAAGAGCAGATGGCTCCTACACAGTCATATTGGTAAGGAACTGTGAGGTGATCTAATTTCATTCATTTCATGGCCCTCTGCTCTACTTGAGGCATTTCCACAATCGATTTCAAAGTATTGCTCATTCAGAGGAGGTAGGACTCTGGCCTTTGAGAATCCCCGAATTTCCCTCCCGAGCAGAAGGACAAGATGAGGATGTGTTGAAAGGCATCCGAGTTGGGAGAGAGAGTGGAAAGGACCTGGTCTCTGGCACAGACTTAGCCGTTAAAGAGAGTGTCCCAGACGGTGGCAAAGCCAAGTTGTTCAGAGGCGGCAGGACTGTCACTGCAAGGGCTTCTAAAGGAGAAAGCCAGTAACCTGGAGCTGAGTGAACTCCTTTGATGTCTCATTCTGTCAGATCCTGGAGACACTTGCCCAGGTCGGTGGAGTTCAGGATGACCGGTTTGCATGACTGCTGGGGGATTTGTGACTAAACGGAGATAGTGCTTTTGAAAAAATAAAGATAAAAGGATGAGAAAAGACTATGAAATGACCCTCATTTTCAAAAGGAACCTAGAAGTCCTTTACTGGCAGGCTTCCTCCTCTGCCACTTGCTGGGTGGTGTTTTCTCTGAAGTGGTAAGCTATCTCGGAGCCACAGTGAGAAATGTCTTATATTTCTTTAGAGAATTTGTCATTTGCGACTGAATGGAATTTGTGTGTCTTTGCTTAACGAGCTACCAACAGCGTTTTTGTCACCTTATACAAAACTAAAGTCATTAAACTTTCCTTTTCATTTTTCTCTAGAATGACTTCCAAAGTTCCTCCATGGCTAATTCTTGTAGGGTCATGGGAAATGAATTGAAAAGGCAATTCCTACAGCAGGGGCCATTCCTCTCAAACAAGCGAACCGATGACTGTGACTTGCTGTAATTCTGCACATTATTTCTTTTATCAGTATGCTCTTTGCCGAACTTTAGTTGCTGGAAGTTGCACAATGACATTCCTGAGTCCCTAATATTAGGACTATTGATAAAATCAATGAAATCCTCATACCTAAAATGTGAATTGTGTGTGTATGTGTGTGTTTCCTGTGGCAGCGGGTGGGCAAAAGGCACATGTGAAGGGCATAAGAAGAAAGGGAATCAATATTTATTGAATATTTATTATACGCCAGGTTCAACATTTGTGTTATTACTCCCATTTTACAGATGAGAAAACAGAGGTGGGCCAAAGTCACATGACTAGTAACTAAGTGGCAAGGCCTACGTCAGTTGGACCCTGAGGCATGCTGGTCACCTCCACCACACTACCATATTTTTGCCTCTTATTTGCTGTCATAGGAGCCTGGGAGTCAGCTTACCCCCTCCTTCATAGCCAGAGAGCTATTCCAGGGAACCTTGGTAGGTAGAGGGTTTGAAATGAGTAACCATCCACTGCAGCACACCCCTGCATCATTGTGTCTTGACCTTGAATACAGAGCCACCTGTGCCCTAAGGCTCAGAGGCAGGAGGAACTAGCCTTGGCTTGAGTGGCCATAGAGAATATGAGTCAGGAGGCAACTCTGAGCGAGTTAGAAAGGGCTTAGGAGCTTCACCCCTGGAGAAGGACTACCTTTGGGGAGAACCAAACTTCTCCTGGTCTCTCATGCCCAGGAATTAGGAAGGTATAATTGTCTATGTTCACTGGCATAAGCAGGACCTACATTCTGTTCTCTAAACTCTTGCCCAGCCCACTCATTTCCAAGCCTTGAAAACCATACGAAAGGGAAGTAGCAAAGCAGAGGGAGAAGAGTTGTGTTACAACAAACTGCAATGGTTTATGCAGATCTTCTTTCTTTAGTGGGCTTTTCACAAGACTAATGATTCTCAGCTTTCAAGCCTTTTATTTTTTACTTTATTATTATTTTTTTTAATCCTCGCCCAAGGATATTTTCCATTGATTTTCAGAGTGGAAGGGAGAGAAGAAGGGGGATAGACAGAGAAAAACATCAGTGTGAGAGAAACATTGATTGGTTGCTTCCCACATGTGCCCTAACCTGGGCCAGGGATCGAACCCTCAGCCAAAGTACCTGATAGATTGGGAATTGAACCCTTAACCCTTTGGTGTACAGGCCAACACTCTAACCACTGAGAAAAACTGGCCAGGGCTTTCAAACCTTGTAGAATGATGACATCTATTCTGAGTTCAGTCACCATTAGGTTTTCTTAGAGATTGGTCTCCTGATTTCAACATCTGTTGCTTGATTTAAATTTTATCCTTTCCATTAGGCCTGAGCCTTGGCGACACGTGCTTATTTTATTACCATTTGTTTTCTTTTAAACAGTCACAAAGCTGAGAGTTTTTTCCTGAAATCTGATATGGGATAGCAGATATGAAAATGTTCTTAGGTTTCATTTATTGTTCCAGAAGTTAATGACTCTGTTGATATTTATGTGAATGCCATGGAATTATATTAATATTGTGGGCTTGGGGAATGCTGTGGTAACCTGCAAAAGGAAATTCTGTCCGAAATAATTCTTCAGGTATGAGCGTAGTGTTGTTACGGTTGTTTTGTTTTCTGCCAGATGTATACAGAGTCCATTGTGTTTTCATTTCTTATTTGAGTGTGTGTTTATGTTTGTATGTTTTTATCTTAGTATGTATCTTAACTAGTTATAAGCCACAGGATATACTGCTAAGTAAGTGTAAATAACAGCATGTCAGCACATGTAAAAAAAGTACCCATCAATTAAATAAAGGTAAACTTCATTAACTCAATTTTTTAATATGTGCAACCTTTCTCCCAGTGGGGTCAAACAGGTAGAAAAACTTTCCTTTATCAAGAAAGTTAAAAAGTTGGAGGTCATTTCAGTCCATTAAAATTAATATATTCCCAGCTCCACACATTCAAACAGTATCCTATTAATTAAAAGAAGAAAGGCCAAATTTCACACCAAGTTATCTAGTATGTTGTGAAATGAGGCCCCATTACAAAGTGCAGCTGCTATGAATGAGGCTCATGTGGTTTCCAACTCCTCCTAATTCTTTACTCTTATAGCTTCAAGGCTGAGAACATTCTAGTGTTTATCCGTAGTTCCTTCCTTAACCTCATCTGGTTAAGATGGTTTTTCTCTAGGACATAAAAGGGATTTAGTGTTCCACGCCAGTGGGCTTCCTTACCCATAGGCAATGATTTGGCCCTAGAAAGAGAGATTATTATGCACACTTGGTGTCATGACTTAAGTTTTCTTTAGAATTTTATATTTTCCTTACTTCTTCTTCTTCTTTTAAATAAATCAAACCAAACAGGTATTCCTGGAGGACTTCTGAGTGGAAAGAATGCCAAGTCTCTCTCCTCCTCGAGCAGCAGGACCCCCACTGGCCTGTGACGGGACCCGTGTGTGGAGGTGGGATCCAGACCCGGGCGGTGTACTGTGCCCAGAGCACACCAGCATCCACCGCACAGAGGGCCAAGGAAGGTAGGCAGCCAGTTCCAGGGACAGATGGTGCCACTGCCTGAAGGGAGATGGACTCCAGCCTTCTCTCCTCAGATTCTTCTGGATGCAGTGGACCCTCAGCATTCACACATTTCATATTTGTTTTGTTGACTATTTGCAAATCATTCCTAAATTCTGCCACTTTAATTTGGAATAGTTAAAAACAATAGCAGTAATAAAAACAGCAGCCTCAAAGGATCATTGTGAAAGTGAAATGAGAAAATATATCTGACATCTGTAGTACAAATGAATACCACACTCTGAGAGGCTGGAGTGAGTCAGTTAGTAATGAATAATAGTATTGTTTTGTTTTGTTTTCAAGAGTGGTTTTTTTGTGTGTGTGAATTTGTGAATGTGGAAATTTCTGCAGATGTATCACTTTTAAATGTTAAGGTCAATGTCAATTTATTGCCAAATTGACAATTTTAAATGTTATGAAAAGAAGGAGGAGAAGAAACAATTTCTTCCATGGTAGCCTTTCTCCTGGGCAAGTGCTACCTCAGCACTGGTCCATTTGTTTCAGAGTTGGAGACAGTGATAACGTATAGAGACTGAAAAACTGGCCCAGACTTCCTTAGTCAATTGACTGAAAAGCCAAGAGTAGACAATATGCTTCTACGCTAGAAGAAGGTGTGACATATCCCAACCACAGCAGTGCCCTCTGCTGAAGTGGTCAAGGTGGGGATGCTTTCTTGGGTGCGCACATACATTCTCTCCTGTGGAATTTAGTTAGGGAGGTAAGATCTGAGCTTTCTTGCTATGGAAATGCATCCTTTTTATCCTGTCAAGCTTTTCCTACCAGGTGTCTTTTTTTTTTTTTGACATGGCCTTTTATTGTTCCAGGGGCTTCTGAGACCACAGCCTTTGGGCGATGCTCCTTATAACTCACAGAGGAATAATCTTTACAGACTCCTTAGCATTTATTTCAACAATTGAAGTTACTTCCATATTTACAGGGTGAGGGCTATTTTAAAAGTGATAGTTACATTTTAATAAAAACTTATAAAAGTGATAGTAAATTTTTCAAAGCGACAATTTACACATGTTCTGGTCCAGGACAAAACATGACTATGCTTACTCCTCTAAACTTGGAAGAACAAGATCGATAAAAAGTTCCAGCTTTTTCTTCCAGACCTTGGTGATCTTTCTCTTTCACCTTCTTCTTCCCCCCTTTTACTATTGTCTCAAGTTCTAGGGTATTCCGGGTCAACACATAAATGAGAATTTATGACCTATTTTTAGCTTCAACTTTTAATCTTCTTTTGACAGTTTCATCTTCCTAAAGTTTCTTTAGTGAAAATAGCTTTAATTATGGATCACCTATTTCTAAAATTTCTTCAACTTTAATCTTTCCAACATTCTTAATAGAAACATCTTGGGTAGGAAGATTATAATTAGGAAGAGATGGATGAATGGTGTTCTAGAGCTGAGCATGACATGCAAGCTAGGCGGTTCAAGAGAGGAGGGGTATTAAAGATATATTTCGCAGCCTATTAAACCCTGCTACCATATGCTTCAAGCATGTAATGAAGAGGAAAAAAATCTAAGGCCAAATTACACTTTCAGATTAGTATGCTGGTTCGCATGGAAACAAAAAAGTACTTAGAAATCCCTAAGCCTGGTAGCCCAGTTACCAGAGGGGTAAAGGGTTGCAGGGGTCTTAGATGTGGGGACAAGATATAAACACAGTGATGTATACCAAGACCATGTACTCTTGTGCAAAGTTGAAGACAGAGTCAAACTATTGCTGCATTGGAAACACAACACAGTCACAATTGCATTAAAGGCATGGTGTAGCTTACTACTTACCTTTGTAGACATTAACAAAGGTTTTTATTTTGCTCTTGTATGGAAGTGAACCAGAAAGATTGTTCAGCCATCACTTTCCTTTCTTATAATTCTTTCCTGCCCTGCTGTTATCATTTATAAGTATGCCTTGACAAAGCTGGCAACATGAGAATTTCTTCCTTGGCTCAAGTTAAACACAGAGAATAATTGAATTGCCATTGAATGGGACCAATGGAGTGTTTTTGCCCAATTAAAGTGACAGAATTTAAATGTTTCTAACCTTTTCAGCTAATGCAGAAAGAAGGCCAAAATTGATGACAATTTTGCATTTCAGTTTTTGTGAACATCTTTTTTATGATTATTATTATGTTAGGTTTTGGAGAAAGAATTTTAATAGCATCGATTTTGGAAACTCTTTTCGCAGTCACAGCTGACTTTCCCACAAGGTTGATTTCTCCTTAGACTCCAGGATAGTCTGTTCAGTCTCTGCAATGGAATTGCTTGATGTTTTTCCCCCACAAAACTCTGCCATTCATTGTGAGTTAGCTGTGCCGCTTTCTAAGAACCTGATCTTAGACCAATCCACAATCCTGGGGGATGGTGACGGGGAGGTAAAAAACACAAGATTCATTTATATGGGTCTCTCATGCAATAGAATTTCTAAATGCTAGAATGGTGATTGGGGAAGAATGCTAATTCTCTCCTTAAGGCTCCCATGTCTCTTGCTGAGGCTGGATGCTGAGACTGAATTTTGTTCTGTGGCAACTTATTCTTGCAGATGTCCCAGTCTCCATTTGACCTCAATTCATGGTGTTTGTAGGGATAGTATAAGAACAGCTATGGCATATTTACCTGGTTCTATTGTTCAGTGTTCATGTGATGTTTTAGCTGCAGTCAAAATAGTGCTGCAACAATCAATATGAGAAGTATTACCAGTGATAGCAGCCAAGTCAATAGTTTTGGGGATAAAAATATAGAGGGTTATTTATGATTTTGTTTACCACTTATTGTTGTGTTTTTCTTTGATAAGAGAAGCACTAATAAGAGTGATGTTTACCTGCAAATCTAAAAGCTTATATTTGGTGAGGCCATTTTCTTTTTGCCCTTTTCTCAAATGATATTAAAGCCACTTAGCCTGCATTCAAGGATGATTTCTCAGAAGGTAAAACATTGAAACAAGGAACACACCTCTAAAATCTAATAAAGGCTGGGACAGATTTAATCAAGTTATGACAATGTGGCCTAGGGCCTGGAATATCAGCAAATATGGAGTGAAACAGCATAGAGATAGAATGCATTCATTAGGTGAAAAAAACATGAAACCAAAAACTCTACAAAAACTAAATAAAAATTGGGAGAAGGAATTGGTGTGGTTGCAGTTAAGCAGAACACTACCTGTTTGTTTGTTTGTTTGTTTGTTTGTTTGTTTTCAAATTTCAGATTTATTACTTTACATTAAATGGACAAAGCTATTTTGAATTGTTGAATACATTAGTTCAGCCCTGTACTCCAGTAAGACTCAGTAGTTCCTGAGAGTCCTAAGTCTTTTTCATGCTGGGCTCAGACTTAGTATTAAGGGAGAGAATAATCAGATACGGGAATGGCCTGGAATTCTGAGTACTATGGGAAGACGTTTTATATATATTTTGTCTAACTAGTGTATGCAAGCTGAATGTGTTTTGATTCTGGGTTTTAGTTCTGACTTGTTTGGAACTTTGATAAACCACATTAGTGTTTTTCAAGTCTTCTAGTTCATTAAATTGGTTTTAAATATATTGATGATGTCAGTTAAAGGTGGATGACAATGATACATTCATACTATTTAAATAATTTATGTACAGCTATATTTTAGGGTATTATTATCAAGGTACCCTTCATTAATTTATAGACTCTTAAATTGGAATGATAATTGAATGAACAATTAGGATATTGTGTCTTAATAATGTGACCATCTATAATAATAAAAGCATAATATGCTAATTAGACTGGACATCCTTCCTGATGTCCTTCCTTCCAGGTAAGCCAAGCAGGCGGGGCTGTGGCAGAGGTGGCAGAGGCCCCTGGCTGTGGTGGCAGCAGGCGGGGGCCAGGGCCACGGCCCTTGCATTAATTTCGTGCATCAGGCTTCTAATTATCTACACTAATAAAAGAGAAACATGGTAATTAGCGTACGACCGCTACCCTTTTCATTGGCTAATCAGTGATTATATGCAAATTAACTGTCCACCAAGATGGCGGCCGGCAGCCAGGCACTGAAGCAAGCATGAGGCTTGCTTGCTGCAGACTCCAACGTTCCCCGCCTCACTTGCCGGCCTCTCAGCTGCAACTCTAAGCAACTATGTACTATGTTGCAAATAAGAAGCTAAACAAAACCCCAGAAACCAGCCGGACTGAAATCCAGGAGGACCGAAACATTGTATCGATGTTTTCAGCAGCAAGGCCTCAGAGCTAAAGCTGGCCCAGAATAAAAAAAAAAAAGAAAACAAGGAGCGGTTGGAAGCTTTAGTCACTCACCAGCCGGAAAACAGCCCTCAGCCCCTCAGCCAGCCTGGCCAGGCACCCCAGTGGGGACCCCCACCCTGATCCAGGACACCCTTCAGGGCAAACCAGCCAGCCCCTACCCATGCACCAGGCCTCTATTCTATAAAGTAAAAGGATAATATGCCTCCCAGCACCAGGATCAGCGGAGCAGCGAGGCTCCCGGCACTGGGATCAGTGTGATAGGGGGCAGCGCCCAAACCCCCTGATCGCCCTGCGGCTCTGTGTGTGACAGGGGGTGGGGCCACAACCTCCCTATCCACCCTGCTCTGTTCGTGACAGGGGGAAGGCACCCCAACCCCCTGATCAGCCCTGCTCTGTGCCTGATAGGGGGGAGCTCCCCAATCCCCTGATTGCCCTGAGGCTCAGTGTTTGACAGGGGGGAGCTCCCCAACCCCCTGACCGGCCCTGCTCTGTGTGTGACAGGGTGCGGCGCCCCAACACTCCCCCCTCTCCACGGGCCCTGCTCTGTGTGTGACAGGGTAGAGCCATAACCTCCCCATTGGCCCTGCCCTGAGTGTGACAGGGTGCAGCGCCCCAACCCCCTGATCGGCCCTGCTCTGTGTGTGACAGGGGGCGGTGCCCCAACTCCCCTATCGGCCCTACTCTGTGAGTGACAGGGGGGAGCTCCTCAACCCCCTGATGGGCCCTGCTCT